AATGATATTCCAACAGACGTATTTGTCATCTAACATGACAAATACGTCAAATCATATCAAGGGACCCTAATTCGGTAGTTCCTGGATGAACGTTCTCCGAACCGATGGATTGGAAGGTCAAATCCAATAGGTAGGCCAGCGCGAAGCCCTGACCTAAGTCCCCTTGATTATTATGTGTGGGGTCATATGAAAGCGCTAGTTTCTGAAACCCCAGTAAATACTCCACCTTCCCTATCACATCTCCAAAGGAATGTATCGAATTACCAGTATAAGAGATTAATATTATTAGATCATTGGATGAGGTGTGTTTCTCCTATGCCAGTGTGGTTTCTCACGACATTATAGCCAGTGCGGGCTTTTACAACCGGTCGACACGGTGTTTTATTTCCGAAGTCGTGTTTTTGCCACCGACCGGTCGCCATTTATGACTATCGTACCGGAATTCTTACCAATTACCGGTAATTATATGAGTTTTTCCGCCGAGGAGTTTCTTCCAATTTTTTTTCGTCCCTGTGTCGATGCCAGACGGACGCACCTGCTTTATTTTGAAACAGACAGTATATTATACAGGGTGATCTATAAATATCGCAAGACGATTTAGGGTCGTATTACTTACTGGGGTCAAAATGTGAAGAAAAGATCTTATGAACTTATTTTCGGAAATAATTCGTTTCTGGGACCTTGGATGAAGGACTTTGAAGTTTCTTTCGAAAAAACGATTTTTGGAAATTTGGAATAGGGGTTTGAACATGCCGAATGGTCTTGAAAATCCACAGGGAGATATTTTTTCAGGGGTTATATCGCCTTTTTTCAACCTGATTCTTTTTGTGGTGCGCCTCTGGTGAATTCTAGGAAATAAGATGCAATTCATAGTTCTTTCAGAATATCTCTGTCCACACTTATAGTTTTCTCGTTTTTCAGAAAAAAATTAGAATTTTCTGGAATTCATATTTTTTCAGCTCTTTTCAACATTTTTAACACCCCATAATTCGGAACTAATGTGATTTGATTCGAAAAAAGTTCAGGGTGAAAGAATTCGGTGTGTTCTCTGAAAAAATATCTCGAGCCCAACGATATACAGCCTAAAAAATATTCGAAATTTGAGCTGGATAAAAATCAGTTATTATGCAACTTACATTATGCTACTTTGTCATCCTGTCATCAAATAACAGTTGCTGGTTGAATATAAACATTTTCAAAATTGTAGTGTATGAAAAAGCATCAAAATTGGTTTTGACCAGGTTGACGTAATAATGACAATGACACACAAGTACACAAAACAATAGAAATCAAGATTTTCATGCACAAAACACTTGAATTTCCTCTAGTCACAACATTGCGAAATAAATGGTTTGCTGATCTAATAGCTATTATGAATGCCTAAGGTGAATTTCTATAGAGGGTAATACTCGGTAATATAATCAAGGGTAATAGTCATTTTTGTTGTTTTTCAAACTAGGTACATACATCTTGGGCATGTTATATTTATTTTGCTATTTGTTTTATTTTGATTGACTTTCAGAGCTGCTTCACATTCTATCATTTTCAATTGCATTGCAATTTCTTTTTGTCAAAAAAATCTGTGTTCTGCTCCTCATTCAGAAACCATGAAAACATTAACATTCAATTTGCATCCAATGAAGCATAAATATTGCATGAAATTTCTTTTTTTTATGTTCTGGTTCCCACGAAAAGGGATATCCTGTAATGTACAGAGAACATCGTGAGAACCAAGAGAAATAAGGTAGGAATTGGTGTTCATCTTGAATTTCTGGTGGTTATATGCCTCGGGGAACACCTCCCTTGGCAATGTGTTCCAGAGCCTCGCTGTTCATTGGATGTACGAGTCTTTGGAAAGAGATGTTCTGCAGGTCTCCAAAGTGACCACGAAGGGGTGCGAAGCCTCAACTCAACGGGTTAATCTCGCGGGGACTGCCAAGGGAGGAATAATTGTTGATATGTCAGAAGAGCATCGTCTATGAAAATATCTATAAAATAGAGCCAGATCACCAACTTTTCTACGGTGTTCAAGAGAAGTGAGTGAGTTTGTGAGCGAGGCATCAATCATCCACGAGACGAATTGCCCTTTTTTGGGAAGATTCCTACAGTTTCAGGGTATGTTTGGGTGCTGCACTCCAAATATGGGAACAGAATTCGTCACTAGAATTGCCGCAATAAAATAGGACCGGACTCATATAAACTGGGCGTCAATTGAAACGTTAATAGTGAAATTTGGCATCAAGTTTGACTTCTCGTAATTTCTAAAATATTGAACCAATTTTGAATTGCCGCCCAGATTCTGAATGCCTTTTTCATCGTCTTTCGAACCGTTCCTTACAACTTCTTCTGAATTGATCAGGACCCGTGATACAGGGTGAAACAAAGTTTCGTGCATTTTGAAAAGAATTTCTCCGCCCCCCCATTTTGTCGGAAGACCACGATGCTCATATTTTATTCAGGCATTTCATAAATAGCAACCATACCTCGGGACGTTTTCGAGTTTTTGCCAAAAACTACTGTGGTTTTCGAAAAAAAAAATTTTTTTGCATTTTTTTTAAATGGCCTGATTACATGTATCCTCAAATTGATGAATCAGTCTATTTATTGTCATGACTGACTTATTGAAAATGATACTTGAATGAGTTTGGGTATATCCTAATCGTCGTATCCTGAAATAATAATTATCTGTACTGAATTATAGTTTATATCACTAGAATGATCTTACCAAATGATATTTTCCATTTCGACCCGATTTGAACGAGGCATCTTTACATTTTTTAGGACCCGAATTACACTGACGTTTTCATGAAATTTGGCAATTGATATAACCTCTATGCATACCTACATTGTTTCAACAATACGTTGTTATAGAAACAAGGTATCGTTGTTTGTTTTTGTTGACGAGATGTGTTGATTTACTGCTCACTAAGGTAGACAACTTTTATCATATAGACTGCGAAGTAATAAATTATTGATTGTTTTTGAGTAACCTGGTATACATATCTGCTCCAACGCTTTTCTGAAATGCATAAAAGCATCCATTTATGGAACTCCTCTAAAATTAGTCCATTTGAAAAAAAAAAAAATCCTCCAGAAACCACAGTAGTTTTTTGGCAAAAACTCGAAAACATCCCGAGGTATGGTTGCTATTTATGAAATGCCCGAATAAAATATGAGCATTTTGGTCTGTCGACAAAATGGGGGGGCGGAGAAATTTTTTTCAAAATGCACGAAACTTTGTTTCACCCTGTATCACGGGTCCTGATCAATTTCGAAGAAGCTGTAAAGAACGTTTCGAAAGACGATGAAAAAAGCATTCAGAATCTGGGCGGCAATTCAAAATTGGTTCAATATTTTAGAAATTACGAGAAGTCAAACTTGATGCCAAATTTCACTATTAACGTTTCAATTGACGCCCAGTTTATTTGCTGGAATGCAACAAAATATCGCAACAGCTGTCTAAAATGACACTAGTGTAGGCGCACAATGAAAGTAGTTGCAATTTTTTGAATAATTGTGAACTATTTCTAGCGGTTCTTATAATATCAAATTTTTGTTAATTTTCTTGTTATTTTCACCATTTCATTCTGCGAATGAAGTTTGAAGAATGATTGTCTCACTTTGAGCTTATCAATCAAGAATCATTTGGTGAAACTGGGCCTTAGTCACTATACCTTTTCAACTTCAATTTCGGAATCGGTGAGTTATATTTCGGAAAAAGTAATCTCGATTTCAGAATTGGTTAGTTCGATTTCAGAAATGGTAAACTCAATTTCAGAATCGGTGAGATGAATTTCAGAAAAAGTCCATTCAATTTCAGAAATGGTAAGTTGTATTTCAGAATTATTATTGGTAGGTTCAATTTCAGAAGATGAAATCCTTTTATATGTTTGAAATTTTTTTAATTGCAAAAGAGAAGATTGTTTACTGTGGATGGAATGGTGTTTGAGAGCCCTATGTTGAATCAGATTGAACATATATGGGGTGCCTTCAAGTCAGAAGTGAAGAGCTTCTTGCAAGAGCATCGCCAAAGGGTCATAGCTGGGGATCCGAACAGCTTGCTCAACCAGATAGAATTCAGACTGCGATGTCTTGAGGAATGTGCAGATCATTAAATGAAAATGATAACACCTCAAATGTGTTTGCATTCTCATAATCATGTGCAACGCTATTATCTTCCAGCGATTCGGATGGAAGGCAACTTACCATTTCTGAAATTGAATGGACTTTTTCTGAAATTCATCTCACCGATTGTGAAATTGAGTTTACCATTTCTGAAATCGAACTAACCAATTCTGAAATCGAGATTACTTTTTCCGAAATTGAAGTTGAAAAGGTATAGTTAGGATTAGGAAGATAATTTATAGCGAATGCAGGAACTCGAGCAGGACCTGGCGGAATGTTTCTCCACTGTGTGTATATTTACCTCTGTTCAACACATGCGAGTAAGAAGGAAACATATACATTGAGTGCAGAAACACTCCACTAGGTACTGCCAATGGAATCTTCAGTCACAGGAGAAGGAAAAATGATAATTAATCCCATTGGGGCCGTTGGGTGGTTTTGTCCAGCGGTACGGCGAGTGTAAAAGTTTGCGTGCACAGACATCTAGTCGGCCATTATTTCTGCGATCGGGATTCGCTTTTGTTTTCTTTCGAAAGTTCATTTATACCAGCTTAACAATGGCGGACAATGTGGCCCCGAAGGCCTTGCATTATTATGCCGAGATGCGTTCGCGTTTAACCGCGACAAGGGGGCATTCAACAGTTTGATGAATCGGGTATAAATCATGAGGGTCTGACGGCCGTGTCCAATACATGTTGAATATACAGGGTGATCAAGCTTTATTGAACGGGAGATTGTCGGATCAATGAGGTTCTAATGCTTGATAACAGTTCCTGTAGAAACAAAATATCCTAGATCTCCACGTTTTCGAGATACAGGGAGCAGGGAGTTAAAAAAAATTAAGTTGCTCAAAATAATCCGTAATTTCAACTCACCTGTCTTCTTTCAACTGATTGACGTCTGGGACATTGTGAACGGTATTGTTGGCCCCGATTTTTTTCCAATATGCTTCGCTATGAGCATCTGGAAGATCAACTTGTCCTAAAAAAAATAATAATTAGGAATCTTATCTTTTTTGAAATCTATACATATAATCATGTACAAAGTGCAAAATATGATTCAAAAACAAATATGAATAATATACAACGAGGTTTTTAACGAGAATCTAGAACGTCGAATGAATTATTGTGAATGGAATGCCATCTATATTGGCACATTTTTCAAGCACTCCTTCCTGTCTATGTCCTCATCACTCGAAAGTTGTGATTTTTGTAGTTGAAATGATGTAATATGCAAATGCATACTGAAAAAAATCATGATGATGAATTTGAGAAGACATTTTATAGACAGATGGGTGATATTTTTCATTGATTTCCATGCTCTAAAATGATGAAGCAAAGAAGGTTCAAGGCATAGGAACTACTATCGAATGGCACAAAAAAAGACAGTTCTTCACAGTAGCAAGTCTGACGTCACCTCCACGAAAATTTTCATGTGAGGGCACAGTTCAGCGGATATCAATCCTTACAGGTGTCTGAAACGCTCTTTTTTTTCTCTCATTTTTTGTTTAATAGAAATTTATCGTTGACTGTGTCATATTGAAGTGTTCCATGTATGTATACTTATTTGGAAATCACCTTGTATTTATAAATAGATCGGGTCCGTAACAACAGACCCATTCACTTTTTCAATTTGCGCCATGAAAGAAAACGCATCACTGGTTTCTGAAGATCCAATTATTGCACTTCTTTCACGAGATTCCAGGTAAAGAATTGAAAAAGAGTCGATAAATCATCTCACTCGTTTACTTATTGATTCCCTATCGCATGTCACGGTATATTCACCATTTGTGTACAGACTAAATGAATATTCATTTGTGTACAGACCAAATTAATATTCATCTGTTGAAGACAAATTCTCTCCAATTCCGGAGTATTATGCGGTGTGCCTCGAGGGTCGGTTTTGGGGCCCTCGCTACATGATAGCCACATAGATAGATGTTATGAATCGCTGAGGGCCGTATGACAAAAACGTTCTGGAGGAAATGTATTCGGAACAAGTTTTATGCAATGCTATGTCAAGTTTGATACTTTACCTGCGAAGGCTTCACAAAATAACCTCAAACTGTCTCCAACATGAACGCTGGTATCCCTGGATATGTATGTTATTTTTGGTTCGTCGGGTACTTTGTCTGAAACAATAATAATAAGAGATCATAAATGTTGTGAAATATTTATTATTATGGGGAACACATGAATCAACACATTCATCATTCGACATTTGCAAATATACAAGAAAGTTAGGGCCAGCTTGAAATAATCGGAAAGTTTCACTTTTTTTTCAAAAACAAATATGTTGATGACGTGACAAATTCTTGGTGATGATTATCATTTCATCGATACAATACAGTCACCCTATGTACGCCTTTATAGAACCAAAAACCCACAAGCCGTGTTCGAAATGATTTAACAACCGACACTATAATAATAATAATTGATACAAATACGATCTGAAGACGCCTACTCGTCTCGAAACGTACATGAATATCTCATATTTCAGTTCCACGCCAAGTCGATCACCTGAGATATTTATCGACTATCAAAATGAATGAATACGAAATGCGATGCATTGTAAAAATGTACCCTACGTTAGTGCATGTCATTGCTCGTTGCGCAAGTTGTTTCATTCTTGAATCTAAATAGTTGCTCGATGGGAAAAATCTTGACACAGCTGAGTATGCAATTCAGTGGGCCTATATGGGACTTTTACCGGAAATGTGTAGGCAACAAAGGTTGTTTCTAACAACTCGCAAGTGTCTTGTTATTATAAGATTCTTATTACTCCAGTCAGTGGCGGCTCCTCAGAGGAGGCAACAGTGGCTGAGCCTCCTAAAAAATTCACATACATCGAATAATTTTCTATGAACAAGAACCTTAAATAAGTGTCGTCAGTTTTTTTCGATGAATTCGAGCACGAGCCGCCACTGTACTCTACTATGTCCACTGATCAGAATTCACGTTTAATTCGAAATCGTCTTTTCATGAAATATGAGGAATTATGTTTTCTACGTACGAAGTTTTGAAAATGAATTTATTCATGATATGAATCTCTCAGATGAAACATATTTTATAGAGGGTGATGAAGTTTCAATGACTGATACTCCAGGAATCGGTAGAACCCGATGAGATACTGTACTCTACTATCTATGTCCACTAATCAGAATTCACGTTTAATTTGAAATCGTCTTTTCATGAAATATAAGGAACAATGTTTTCTACGTACGAAGTTTTGAAAATGAATTTATTCATGATATGAATCTCTCAGATGAAACATATTTTATACAGGGTGATGAAGTTTCAATGACTGCGATACTCTAGGAATCGGTAGAACCCGATGAGAAACTATTATCTAATACTGTCTATCTTTCTAAGTAACTCTGTGAAAAAGTAATTCAAGAAGTTTATCCTACCATCAGAAACGATAATAAAAATCATAGAACTTTAACCTATTTCAACAGAAAAATTATCAGTCTGTAGAATGGCAAAGTTTTGGAATTATTTGCCAATGGTAGTTCTCCCACGAACTTATAACCTCCAAAAGTTGAAAAAAACAATGCCTACCTCCTCTCCCAAACTTCTCTAGGTACGCGCGATATTCTTCGAACATTAAAGGGATTTTATTTCGTTCGCTCCAAGAGATAAAAAAACAAAAATTAAAATTTATGGATTGAAAAAACAAGGGTATACAAACCGAACTGAGAATCTTGTGTTGAGGTATATATTGGTCAGACAGCAAGACCGTTCAGCCACCGCATCGAAGGACATCATGTGAGATTTTCAAAACAAGAAGAGTTATTCAATATTCGCGAACCATTCATTAGAGGAAATGAAATTTCCAATTCAAATGCAGATATTTTGCATGGTTTCCGAAACGGAGAAGGATTCTGCCTTCCATCCTTTTAACTCATAAAAAAGCCATATTTTGGGCTGATGATGAAAATGGCTAATTGAAATTTCAAAGGAAACATTCTCAATTACGTTGAAAGGTTGAAAATGCTGCCCTGTTTGAGACCAAACTTCATGTCGAGTCGAAAACCCAAAGTTACAAGCTTACAGATGCACGTATGTCGTAGATAGATACAATACAATGAAATATACTCACCGAAAACTCTGAAGTGTATCGTATGACTGTGTAGGACAGTGTCATTTCTTAGTACGCAAGTATAGTTTCCACCGTCTTTTTCTGACAACGATTGCGAGTATATCGTCTGATTGCCACTTTCGGGTACTAGGATTAGGGATGAGATTTCCAGAGCCCAGGGATACAGTCGATCGTCTTTGTACCTGTAACAAAAAACACGATTAGATTCGAATCAGAGACAAACTTCCTGCTTGAAGAGTGTCAATTGGTTTGTTTCATTTATTTGATAATGAATTTTACACACTGTATATCCAGGGGTGTCGCCATGGGGGGCATGGGAGGGTCACAAACCTAGCGCCTAGTCCTTATTCAGAGACTTTCTCAACTTGATACATTTGCATTATTCAATCCCTATTCTGATTCACTTATTATAGTGACTTTCAGAGACTTTGTTCAATGAGTATTCATCGACATCATATAAATAGATACAGAGTTAAATTTATCTAATTAATTTACTAAAATATAAATCTTGACATTAAATAGAGTTTGATTTACCATGACGACCGATAAAAAAGAGTAGCCCTATTGCTTCTTGAAAACAACGAAAAAGTGTGCTCGCATTGTTTTCCTAAGTTTTGTTAATAAATGTTGCAAAAATGCATGATAAAACTATTGAGGAAGCTGTTGCAAACATGGTGGTAGATTTATTGCCAGAAAAATCCCGGAAATTTACCAAGCCTATAGGGAGTATACACTCTGTACTGTACTTCCGCTTTTGAAAGTTTAAATTCGTATATTATAAATAGTTCATGCAAAAACTGTTTCTTTATGTACGTATACTGATTATTGTATATTATTATTGTGACTTGCCCCTCCCCCTGAGATTATTTTTGCGGACGCCTTTGTGTATATCCTAAACACAATTAGATCAAAAACCAAGGCTTCATAGGTAGTGGATTTTTGTAATATCTGCGCTCTGCCCCACCACATTTCATGGTCGAAAATTGAACAATAAATATCACACATACATTTATGAAAAAATTTACTGGGTAATTGTTGAAAAAAAAATTCTAACTTTGCATCTGAGCTATTAATATATTTTATTGATGAAAATCAGTTACTTTATTAAATTTATTGAAAAAACATGCATTCAGTCTGGAAGTATACCTCGTTTTTCGAGAAAAAAAACATTTTTTTGGGCCATAAAAAGTAGGGGGGGGGGAATTATTTTTGTTATTAACACATAGGAACAGGCGAAGTTTATACATTATACAAAAACCAATGGAAAATGTTGTAGATACTGAATTACTTTCCAGGTATTGTTATCGGAATCATCATTCAATTATTTTATACAAGGTGTCCCAGAACAACGTACCATGAATTCTAGAAACTCTCTGCGAAAATGCACCATTGAGGCGTGAGAGGACGATGAAGAACAATTTTATTCCCAGATTTATTTCAATATTTCGAAATCTTTCAAAGGTACTGTTTTGAATTTCGTAGGGCAATTTACTATAGTGAATCTGCATGGAAAACATGTCATACCTATTCAATCAGTATACAGGGAGATAGGTATTTCGCATTCTCTTTGGTGAAAACTATACGTCCATGGGTGAAAATCAAATTTACTTTTGTTCCAGAAAATAACAAAATCACTAATCTCAATTTTTTCTAACTGCAGTTTTTTCACCCTGTAGAATTCATGGTACGTTATTCTGAGACACGTTGTATATCGTTTAATGATGTTTAATCGTGTTTTCACGTGCAATTTTTCACGGTCGGTATTTTGTGATACCAATAATTTGTGTACCTAACTCTCGAATGATTACCAAGAAAATGACTCAATTCAAGCAAACAATTGCTTGTAAAATCTCATTAATCTAATGAGAATTGTTTACATAAACTCCTAGACGTTGTTTGTATAACAACTGTTCCATTTTAATTAAACAATGATTGAATATAAAATTTGTCTATAAATATATCAATTTGCGAATAGCATTATTTGATTATTTATTTTCTTCGATGAACATAAACATGATAAGGAATATTCTCAGATATATTTTTGAACACAAAAAAATGGATATACATATAAAGAAATACATTGAGAATTAGCATTCTCCATGTGATGAAACTATTAATTCTTTCTCGGTTTATTCAACAGGACGAAAATTGAATTACATCTATTGAACACACCCGATAAGGATTTGAAAAAAAAATCTTCTGAAGTAGAGACTTTGCATTCTCCTTCATATAAAGATATGCATATAATATCATTCTGAATATTCAACAGAAAACAACTACTTTCTCTGAAATTGAGAATTGACATTATCTCTCAAATCGAATAGAATAATATGATGTATTATAATATAGAAATATTATATGTTCAGTATTGATATGAAAATTGAAATGTATAGGAGAAGTATACTTGTATGAACTCTGATCTTGATGAGCTTGATATGGGAATGGGCTTGTATCACAAAAAAATTTTATTTCATAATTCGATAGAACTCACCCAAACTAGCTCACCACCGCAAACCGTTTCTTGCTGTGAGCTCCCTACGTTTTGTAAAAAATTATTGAAATCTCCGATTTTTCGGACCTCTGAAAACGAGGCGATGATAAGACGTCAAAACCCTAATACTGAAACAAGACTATTCCAGACAGAGATGAATGATACATGATTTCTGACAGAGTGAATTAGCGCGAGATCACAGTTGAAATCTCTCACAAACAGGTAATATGACTAAAACTGATTTCCGATATCATATCCCCCAAGTCCAGTTATTCTTTCAGCCATTCTTCATGATATACACATTTTTCATCCCTATAATATAACTAAAACTATAACGAACTGAAATCTGAGAATTATAATTTGTTGACATAAGCACTGTATTTTTGGATGTATGATAAATTGATATTCATCATACAGGACGTGTATATCATGAAGAATGGCTGAAAGAATAACTGGACTTCAGGTTACTGATGAGGATATATGATATCCGAAATGAGTTTTACTCGAGTTGAGTCATATAACCTGTATGTGAGAGATATAATTCCCATATCACTGATACGAATGATTTTTTTGGAAGTTCCAAGCTCATCAAGATCAGAGTTCATACAAGTTTACTTCTCCTATACATTTCAATTTTCATTTCGACAAATTGGTAAGTTATATTTTTATATCATAATACATCATATTTATTCTATTCGATTTGAGAGATGATGTAAATTCTCAATTTCAGAGAATTTTGTTCTTTCATGCTCTCTTTCTGGATATTCAACAGATATAATTCAATGTTCGACGTGGCAAATACCCCTGAAAGTAGTTGTTTTCTGTTGAATAAACTAAGAAAGAACATGCATGGAGAGTGCGAATTCTCAATGTAATTCTTTATATATATACTCATTTTTTTGTGTTCATAAATATATATCTGAGAATATCCCTTTTCAATACTTCCACCCAATCATGGGGTTCAAACTTGAACGATGGAAACTTATTGTTATTTTTATAGACGTTCAATCGCTGATTTTTGATAAGGTTTTCTCAATTCAGAATTACTTTCCACGTCCTCGTCCTGTATGATGAATATCAATTTATCATACATCCAAAAACATAAACATGAGTGATTGTTTTAGTTCCTCCCTATTTTTTCATTTTGTGAATATAGCCTAATAGCAAGAATTTTGGCGTTTCTGGTATTTCGAATAATCAGAACCCGCTAGTAAATGTACCTACATAATAACCGATAATAACCCATGTAAACCCAATATTACTTGAAGGTGAATGTTTCTGCTACTGATATATATCTACATAATTTATTCAAACAGCTTTAGTACTTATTAGACCGCAATCAGTTTCCGATTAATTCAGTGACGAAGAACTTCAGTTAGAAAGTTTGTGACTGGTGTTACATCACGTACACCAAAACGGTGACAAAAAGTGGAATTTTTGGCAATTTGACTCCTTTGAAATCAACAGGGAGTTGGGAATGGATTACATTCGATATTTTCTAATTGAATAATAGTTCGAGGGAAACTTTATACAGGGTGTCCCATGATAACGTTCTTCAATCATCTTTGTTGCCATTGATTCTAGAATAATGGAATTCGGCAACTATACAGGGTGATCCACGGTGGATGGCCCATTAGAAGTAGGTCTGGAGAACGAAAAGACAGAACATTCTGAAATTTGGAATGCTTCGATAATTGAACATTCTCTATCCGTCTAAAATATTCTCATCGATACAGTGTTGCCACTTCTATCAGAAACAACTAGCAACTTTGTTATTTCAGATAGAACACCCTGTATTTCATTGCATTTTCAGATTGTTCCTAAAGCTAATTCCATCAATGCATCACACTTGGGGTCTAGCAGGAATGATTACAGAGATATAGGGTGTTCAAAATCGGGATTTTTCAATTTTAGGATTTTTTTGAGTCGAAACTAATCATTATCGATCAAAACGGCTCACATGTCCCAATCTCAACTTTTGATTCACTATCTACTGGAATTTAATTGGAAAAAATACAGGGTGCTTGAAGATTCAGAATTCTGATCACCCTGTATCTGTTCCAATTCAATGTCAATAGATAGTAAATCGAAAGTTGAGATAGGGACATGTGAGTCATCAACAATTTTTTTTTTCAGAGCAAAACCCTAGATGTTATGAAATTTTCATATTCCTCCCGAAAAGCCGATGATTTCGCCGCTGAGATCGCCAAAGCTGATTCCGTAAGTAAGAATTGCAAGAACTTACTGCTTTGATCTTTTTGCATGGTTTTAGTAGTGATTTGTGCAAACACTGTGAACGATGTCATTAGAGCACTAAAAAATGTCCGTATCTAATATCCGTCGAATCGAGATACAAAGAAAATCACTTAAGCATGTAACTAAGTACATTCTACTTAGGGCACGGACACAAAGCGAACAAGAAAAGAGCTTGTGGCTTTTTCGCGATTTTTCCTGGTAATTTATTTAACGCCCATTTGTCATTCGAGTTTCGCAGTATTATTACAAGAGGCGTTTCTCAGTGGCGTAGCCAAAGTAAAATTTCATCTATAGTTATTTTTTTCACATGTCAAAATGTGACGTTTTGGTAATTTCAATTATCGGTATCATACTGACTATTTCACTTATTTTGAAATTCTCACATAATCTGGCCAATCGCAAACCAGAAATGTCATAATGTCAACGTTATGTCAC